GCCACTGCCAGCCTGTCATCCGGTTTCCATCCACAGTCCAACAGCCAGACGGAGCGGAAGAACCAGGAGATGGAGGTAGCTCTCCGGTGCATGGTCTCCAGTCACCCCACGTCCTGGTCGCAGCAGTTGTTGTGGGTGGAATACGCCCACAACACACTCATCAGCTCCTCCACTGGCCTCTCCCTGTTCCAGTGTGCTTATGGTTACCAGCCACCCCTGTTCCCGGCCCAGGAGAGGGAGGTCTCTTGCCCTTCTGTGCAGGTTTTCATCCGCTGATGTCGTCACACCTGGTCCCGGGCCAGATCCACTCTTCTGCGGTCGATGGGCCGTTACACAGCTTCGGCCAACTGCCGACGCACCATGGCACCCACGTACCAAGTGGGACAGAAGGTGTGGTTGTCGACCCGGGACCTACCACTTCGGGTCGACTCAAAGAAACTGGCATCAAAGTTCATCGGCCCCTTCGAGGTTCAGAAGGTCATCAACCCTGCAGCAGTCCGCCTCAAGCTTCCCCGGTCTATGCGAGTTCACCCCACATTTCACGTCTCTAAGATCAAGCTAGTTCTGGAGAGCCCTTTAATTCCTGCTACCCCAACTCCTCTGCCTCCTCACCTTATCGATGGAGACCCGGCTTACACTGTGCGTCGGCTCATCCGCTCTCGTCGCCGTGGGAGGGGCATCCAATACCTGGTCGACTGGGAGGGTTATGGTCCAGAGGAGAGATCCTGGGTCCCCGCCAGTTACATCCTCGACCCTCGGCTCATTACTGACTTCCACCGGCGGCACCCAGACCAGACCTCCAGGACCCTCCCGTCGACCGGAAACCCCCGCCCAAGCACCTCTGCCGCTCCTCCCATCCCCGGCCCAGATGAGGAGGACCCACCATCGTCATCTGAGGACTCCTTGTCTGAGGACGAGGGGTCCCTCCGCCAGACCCCCTCCGCCCACCTGGTTGAAGTCATGGACATGGCCGAGTCTGAGGAGTATTGAGGAGGCTCCTCTGGAGTCCTCCCCTCCCTGCACTTGGGACCTTGTTTTGGGACGTCGGGGAACGTCCCTTGAGGGGGGGGGTTCTGTCACAATCCATTCCGTTCTCCTGCCTGTTTTTCCCATTCACCTGCACTCAGTAATTTTCTCCCACTTTCCACACCTGCTCCACATCAGTAATCAACCCTGGATATAAGCACCCACCTCTTGACACTCTTTGCCAGATTGTTCTTCGCGTCATGCAAGTCTTTCCAGCACTTTTTCCCTGACTGATCTCCCATTGCTGACTCTGCCTGCCTTTGACCTGCTCGTCTGTCTCAGCCCTGGTAATCACTTCAGCCTTTCGTCCCCGACCACGAGTTCTGCCTGAACGTTTCTGGTGTCTGTCTGCCTGTTTCCCTGTCCCTGCTCACCTGTCCCCCGTTTAACTGACTTGATGTTATACTGTGATGATTAAGTATTCCCTTCATTTTTTTGAGCAGTATATATATATATATATATATATATATATATATATATATATATATCGAGAGAGAGAGAGAGAGATAAATAGATATATTGTATTATTACAGTTACTGTGACACTATTATCATTAACTTAAAGTAATTAATTGCTCGATTTGTACAGTCAGTGGAAATATTAGAAGCTATTTCTAACAATGTCACCATGAAGTCTATTTTAAGGGTTGTATGCAGTTCAACTTTTATTAATTTAAATTTCCTGTTTATCACAAAACTCAGCTTGACCTTGTGAAACGATATCTCAGTAATGCCTTGAGGAAATTTCTTCAAATTTGGCACAATTGTCCACTGGAACTCAAGGATGAACTGATTAGATTATAGTGGTCAAAGGTCAAAGGTCAAGGTAAGTGTTATCTCACAAAACATTTTTTAGCATAACTCAAGACTTCACAGCAATTATGACAAAATTTCACACAAATGGATCATATTTTCTATGACTGTGGATAAACAGGAATGTAACCTGAAACTAGTTTGAGTGGAGGAGGCAGACAACCACGAGGAGGGGATTCTAGTTTTCTAAAAGTTACTCATTTGACTTGCGGCTTTCACTTTCAGACCATGATGACCACAGAGATCAAGGGGATAGGATCAGTCCACACCTGAACATTGTAGATGTGGAGGTAAGGTATTTATCTCTTGTTCATATTGTTTTGTACGTTTCTCTCCATGCCTTCAGGTCCTGTCTCTTTTCTCTGCAGAGAAAATGACAGTGAAGTTCAAGCTGCACAGATATTGAGGTGACGGCAGGACACAGCCAGTTGTGTAACACTAGTCCTACAGTTTGGGTTCATTCTCACTGTATATAGACACATGCTCATGAATGTGTGTGATTTGTCATTTTGCAGCTCATGTCTTCATCTGGTCACTTTTTCTACAGACTGAGCTGCAGCCAAGTGACACCACAAAGCAGTCTGATTGGGATGTTGTGTTTCTGGAGTCAATTCCATGTATCATTATTACTAAAGGAGGCAGAGGAATAACTAATCATAAGATGCACAGAGAAAGAGAGCAGGAGAGAGGGAAGGAGAGAGAGAAGTCATCAGTAACGAGGCTTCGTACTAACGACTATGATCAACTCTACATATCAAACAGAGGGAGTTAGACATAAAGACCTGCCTCTAATAAAAGTCTGTTACATTCTGGAGTTGAAGAAAATAAAGACTAAACTATTGTGGATCCAGATGGAGGCTGTGCTCTGTGTGAGAGACTAAAAAAGAAAGATAGTCTGTCTCAGGCCCTGGTGGTTCACCTGGTGGTGCGCATGACATTTGGGCATTGTCTTTGCCACAGTGGCCCAGGTTCAAGTCTGACTTGTGGTCCTTTGCTGCATGTTATCCTCTCTCACTCTCTCTCTCTCTCTCCATCTCTCTCTCTCTTTCTCCCTCTCCAGATATATCTGGAGAGAGAGATATAAACAAACTCTTGTGCTGTATCTTACTTGCAGGAATGGTTGTCAGATGCTTTACTGTTTTATCAACAGGACATTTAGATGTACTTTACATATAAAACTGAACGTTCTTGACATTCAACCCTTGTCAAATGAGGTAACAATGCTGATGAATAGAATAGAATACAATAGAATAGAATAGAACAGGTTTACTGTAGTCAACAGTTTGTTGACTACATTCATTGCATTTGAGATAAACGAGTCCTTTTAGATCTTTTTCTTTGCCATGGGTATCCTGTAGCGTTACCCTGAGGGGAGCAACTCAACCTCAGGGTGGAGGGGGTGTGTTTTGTCATTGGTCATTGTCAGAGCTTTCCTGTGTACAGCTGTGCTGTGGAGGTCATCTAAGAGCTTTTGTTGGCAATCTACCATCTTCCCTGTTGTCTTAACAATCCTGTTCAGCTTGTTTTTATACTACTGTCAAGTGCCCATAGCAGGCAAATATATTAAAATCAAGGATGCTCTCTATGAGGCTGAAATACACTCACCCTAAATTCCCTTAGTTTCCTAATTAAAAACAGTCTCTGGCTGGTTTTCTTAAATCAACATTGTCTGTGATTGTTTGTCACAGTCACAGACTCTGCCAGCCCTTAAGTTGTATCATGACAAAGCATTTAATTTAAAACATAAAACCATTATTAACACTAAAAGGCACCAAAAGTGTAAATATGGACTCAAATTAGGCTCAAAATGATTTTGAGCTTGTAAAGTGATGCTCACAAATAATTACTAAGATTGTAGTTGTAAATTAACCTTTGTCAAACTTCTACAACAGCACAAACTTGAGATTCTTGTCAAGATTTATTTTACAGGTTTGCAAGGGTTGATTTACAGCTTCAAACAAAAGCTAGATAATGATGTTATGGACTCAGATACAGATTCAAGGATATGACTCTGAATGGCAAAATCCTGTTATTTAAGTAAAAGTATCAATGTAAGAAATACAAGTAAAAGTCCTGTATGAAAAATCCTACTTAAGTTAAAGTACATACAGTAAGTATCAAGAGAAAAATGTAGTTAAAGTATTAAAGTAATGCTCCTGGTTGGGTCTCTGACTGTTCTATTATTATATGTGACATCATTATGATCAATCATCATCATCATCAGTGTGTGAGCAGCATGTTATTGTTGTAGCTGCTGCAGGTGGAGCTTGTCTGAACTACTTTATATAGATTTTATAAACAGGGAGACCAGATAAATGAGAGGGGTCGTGGGATGATTGGGATGAGTTTAAATGTAAACTCAAAACATACCTCTTCAGCCTGGCTTTGATTTATTTTTATTTTATTTTTAGTCATTATTGACTTTATTTTATTCACTTATTTTATTGTAACTATGTTGTAAATTGTATTTTATTCTATTTTATCTGTTCTTACGTTTGTTTTTGTTTGCTAATGTTATTAGAACTTTTTAAATCTATTTTATTGTAGCTCATTGTCACTTTCTTACTTGATTTGTCTTTGTCTTTTTGCTCACTGGTCACTTTGAACTGCACTAACCTGTTTGAAAAGTGCTTTACAAATTAAGTTTGATTGATTGATTGATTGATTGATTGATTGATTGATTGATTGATTGATTGATTGATTGATTGATTGATTGATTGATTGATTGATTGATTGATTGAAACAAACCTGTTTTCAGTTTTTGGACTTTTTCTCTAATCTTTGGGATGTTGGATCATTTGAACATGTATTGAAATGAAATTATGTGAAGCTTAGAGGGAAAATCAGTATAGATCACTATTAGATGCAGTCATTTGTCACAGGGCAGTGTGTTGAGGAGAGAAGGATCAATGGTCAGTGGTCCCGACCTGTGGAGGCTCTGTAAGCGTAGCCATGACTCAGCAGATGCAACAAAGGAGCTCAGAGGTTAGTTCGCAGCACGGTACCTCTGTCCTCCTGCTGCTGAGACGCTGTAACTGTCTCGGGTCCCGCTCGCTCCACTACACCCCGCCCAGCCCGCTGCCAGTCCGCCCGGCAGGCCACGTCTCAAAAACCGAACAGTGAAAGTAGTCGAGCAGCTGCGGGCTGAGAGCAGAGGCAAAGAGGAGAGGACCACGGGGTGTCCGGACAGAGAGCACTGCGCACCGGCTCGGTCGCCAAGCAGCAAGACAGAAAACAAAGCTCAAGGTAAGGTTTTTTCTGCTAAATGTCGCGAGGGAAAGAAAATAACTAGTCTACATCCTCTCCTCTCCTCTTCGGACAGGACAGTTGTGCCGTTAGTTTCCGTGGGACCGGTGTGAGGCAGCTAATAGCGGACGCACTTTTTCGGGCAACGCATCAGTAACTTCGTCACTTTTCGTCCTCACAATTCAGACACATGCGGAAAGTAGCGGTTTGCTTTGTGGCTAAATGCATAAAGAAAGTTATGTTTATTATATACCCCCACCCCGATATAGACACAGGTTAGAATACTACTCCATAACCTACCCATTAATCCCATTTTGTCCGAGTTTGTGCAGCTAACACCTGGACCAGGCGGTTCTGTAATTTTACCTGGGCGAGAATATGTCCCTGTGGTGTATAGAAATAACTTCAGCCTTAAGATTTAAATCCCACATTCGTTGGAGACTTTCCTGAATCACTTCCAAGTCCTCCCGGGGTGTCCCAGTTTGAGGCTCAGCGACTCCTAATGTCCCTGGAGAAGAGAACAGGGTCACAGAGGTAATGTGAGTCCGCTGTGAGGAGCTAGGGACTACATTGCTGGGCAATGAAATATAACATTTATGGGATTATTTTTCTTTTAGGCCTATTTATTATATATCAGACAAAACTCTATAAAAACGAAAAATAAGTTTCTATTTTTCAGTAGATACTATTTTTTTCAGGATTATTGATTTTGACAGCAGAAGTAACATAAAACAACACAATGTGATGAGGATTTGGTGATTTTCTTTGTCAGTCATGAACATTCACTGAATATCTTTGGACATCTGAAGATATCACTTAGCCCCTGGAAAAATATAACAGGCATTTTTCACTATTTTCTGACCTTTTACAGTAAAATAATTTATTAATCGAAAAAAACACACAAAATAATTGTTAGTTGCGGCCTTATTAATGCTATCATGATTCCATGCCACTGAAAGTCAACAGCCGTTATTGAAAATTTCTTGAATTAGTAAAGTTCAGCCTGGTTATTATAATACACATGCAAACTCAATGTGCTCACATCTGTATTCAAACACTGTGGTACATTGATACAAAACAGCTTTGATTTAAATTGTCTTAAAAAGGCTGTTTGCTGTATTATGACTAGTGGCTTGATCTCCTATACTTGTAATTACCATCACATCACTGTGAAATGTCTGTGCAGTGTTTAGCATAATTTATTGAAGGCAGTCATCTAACCAAAAGAGTTGAGAAAAGGAGCAGCTGTTTGAGGTTGATGTTAAAGGCAGTGCCGGCTGAGGAGTTTATTTATCGTCTGAGCACAGTGCTCTTACCACTGATAGTTGAGGCCGCTCTGTGCAGCTGGACAGCATCCTGACACAACCTTGAGAGGCTTGTTGGGTTAATGTCCTTTCATGTAGAAAGCTTATCACAACAAGCAGATTTACACAGCATGTTTCTGAGTAACTGCATTTTCAAGGAATAAGCAGAACAACAAAAGCTTTAGGTGCAAAACCCTGTAACTGAGGCAACAATTTCATTACTATTTGTGATTTGTGTAACAGAATGTATTTTTAATATGAATTTTACTCATTCATTTAGCAAATATCAACTAAATAAATCTTTCTGCCTGCACACAGTCACCAAACAGTACTTGAGGACAAAGTTGTTACAGAAGCTGCTGTGTCACAGAGCATGTAGTAACACTGGCAGCAGGCCGAGGCAGATAGGCCTTGTCAAAAAGGCCACAGAACTCATACTTTAGCAAAATGGATGACAGATAAATATTTATTTCCCTCTTTGTCGTGAATACTCGTCTGCAAATATTGCACGTGGAAGTTGTTCTGTTTACTTCTGTGAAATCAGTTAAATCAGTCTGCCATGTTCAGTCAGTCCGTGTTAGCAACTGTGTCGCTAATTTAGCAGGTGTTTGTATCGATCACCAGTTGTTTTTCTTTGCAGATGCCTGTACAGTAAAAGAGGATATATCTCAGAGAGATCATGAATCATGAGCTTAACAAATCTGGGTGTTTTACCAACTTGGAACTGGATCCAACATGAATCTGGATATCAAAAGCCATCCCTAATGTAGACTCTCACTAGCATTAGCAGATGACAATCTTTTAAAGAAATTTGCAAAAAATACTAAATACTTGTCTTATGGCCTATTGACTAATTTTTTTTAAAATCAATTTACAATGAAATCTACAACACATTACAAAGTGCAAAAAGTGAGGGGTGTGAATACGTTCTAAAGCCAGGCAGGCCTGTGTTAACATTCTAGTCACACTAATATTAGTACATAGTTTGTGTGCAGATGCCTGGGACACTTCATAACAATGGATGACAAAGAGATAAGAACATTGTACTTGGAGCTGGTTCAGCAATTTAGTTTAGCAGGGTTTTATTTGATTTCTTGTTAACTTCTTCCTGCTGGGCAGACTGCTGAACAATCCAATATGATGCAGATTTCAAGGACATAGAAAGTTATTTGAACTGGCCCTTAATCTGGATCCAGTCCCAATGACTCCCAGACGTGCCCACTTGGAGGAGTTATATGTGCCCACTCATGAGGACTGAAACTTCCAGTGTTAGGTGCCTCATTGTGTTTACATGAGAGTTTTCTTTCTCAGCCTTAGGGAATTGAAAGCCAATGTCAGAATTAGTAACTCAAGATGTGTCTTCACCTGATTGTGAGGTTGTTGTAATCATTTCTGTGAATAATGATTAAATTCATTATCGGTTAATGTGCCAATTATTTTCTCTATTAATCACTGATTACTTGATTAATTATTCAGTCTATAATATGTATGAAAATAATAAAAATGCCTGTTATAGTTTCCTAAAAGATGACAGAAAAACACAGTCAACCATCCAAAGATGTTACCCTTATTCTAGTAAAAATTAATCAATTATTAAAATAGTTTCAGATTGATTTTACATTAACTTTTGTGTTAATAATGTTGTGGCCAAAAAGGATATTTTGCACTTCCCCAACAACAAGCCACATATTACCCAGGAAGTTAAAGTCTGTATTGAGAAAAAGAAGCTGGCCTTCAGGAACAAAGAGCATGGGGGTGTGGCAACATTCAAAAAAGAACATCTCAGGGAGAAACAATCTGCCAGTGAGCAGAGCTTCAGCTCAATAAAAGGTTATGGGAGTCTATGAAAAACAGAATTAACACAAACTCTAACAGGGAACAGATTGCCTCTCTAGATAAATAGGTCAGAGCTGGCAAACCGAATGACTTCTTCCTCAGATCTGATATACAGGACCAGAGACAGATGAGAAAGGAGACTGGGCACTGGGCATTATTTCCTGTAACTGAGTCTCGTGGGTTTCTCCACCTCCCTCCCCTTTAGGAGACCTGCAGCAGGTCTGAGTGGAGGAGACAGGGTGTGTTACCATTTCACGCCCCTCGTAGCCCCTTCGACTCGTTTCAGCAATTAGAAAGTATGCAATAAGAAATGAATCGGTCTTACCTGCCCTCATCAGAACTTTAACATCTGTAGTAATGATGTGTTTTGAAAGGGACAATGTAAACATGCTTAAGACTGAGGTGGCTTCATGTCTTGACCCTCTAAAGAAAGTCCTAAAGAAGAGAGCAACCAGCATGGTAAACAACACAGCCACGGCCTCAGAGGCTGAATCTGCTCATTTGATGTGATCATGTGATCTGCCATTATTTGATCTGTCAAATGAAACTTTTGAGCATTAAGATGCTGATGGTGCTTCATTACTAGTAACTGAACAAACGTGATGAAGCTGCAGCTACAAATGCTGATGATGGAGAAAACAAAGAAAGCTCAGTAAAAGATATGAGGCTGAACTGTACAGATACACGTGGACTCACTATTTGGCAAGGAACAGGCCACTGTTACTCTTTTTATCTAATGTGTTATAACAGCTTATAAATTATTTATAAAGTGTTAATAAGATAAATAATAAACTAGTTATAAACCAAGTCTTTTATAAGGGTCGTCTTAGTGGTACCAATAGTTTTATTCTTTTTAACAAACAGGTCCCAACAGGTAAAGATTATGGGATGCCTCCTCAAGAACACTGTAGTACATGGTTACCTCAGGTCATCCTCTTCACGCTGTACACAAACAAATGTAGCAACCCAAATATTCACATCATCACAGTTAGAACGGGTGTGACAGCCACCACCTTGTTTGAAATATTAATAACACTAAAATGATCTCTAGCCCCAGGGAGGTGAGAGCTCATTCCTAATGTTTATGACACCGCTCAACAAACACCAGGGTAACTCAGGTGTGGCTAGTTCTCATGCACTGTAAATTTGCGACCGCATACTTCTTTTTTAATGTCTATTTATTTATTACAAGATGAGCAATATTCATACATCTTATATAGTAAATTTCCCCTCAGGGACAAAAAAGTATATCTTATCTTAAAGCTGGAGTAGACACACATATTTTGGTGTCATCAGGCAGAAATTCCATAATCACCTTTCAGCATATTGTAATTCAAGTGGTCTGAGAGAGAAACTAGACGTCTGCACCTTCTCTTGGCTCTGTTTTCAGACATTAGACAATCTAGCGAGATTAAGTGAGACTTTGGCCAATCACAGGTCTTTACACAGAGAGAGAGTGTGTTCCTATTGGCTGTTCTCTTCTCCTGGACATGTAAAAGGAGACGAGAACAGCCAATAGGAAGAATAATAATACATAATAATAATAAGAAGAAGAATATTACAACAGATAAGGGTTTTTAGTCTGAGTGTATGATAATATGCATTGGTGTGAAGAGAAGAAGCTGTAGAGGAGAACTGATGGTTGAATGATAGGGTGACAGGGGAGTGAAGACAGAGGAGGAAGGATCTGCAACGATGTCTTGTGTTTACCTTTGTATCCTGGGGGTCTGAAGGTGAGGAGAACATGTCAGGGCTTGAGCAATGAGCACAACAGATTATGGTATGCTTGCATGGATCACCTCAGTCAGCAGTAATCTTGGTCTTCCACTGGAAACTTCGAAGGACAGTCCTTTGCAACAC